ATGATTGGGTATAAAAAGAGCTTCTCAGAGTGTCAGTGTCTCTCAGAAGCTCTTTTTATACCCAATCATGTTGTCAATTGACCTAATTAGTGTTAATTGGTCTTCCAGCTGTTCGTTATATGCTCATTTTCCTTTTTCCAGCCACTTATTGCTACTTGTCCCAACTTTTTAGGGATTTGTTGACACTGTGAAATTTTAAATCAACATATTTTTCCTTTAGAATGTTACATTTGCTCAGATTAAACTTTTGCTCTGTCATCTATGTTATATTATGAATAAAATATTGACATTTGCCATCTCCACATCATTGCATTCAGTTTTTATTCAGTTTGTTTAGTGTCCCAACTTTTTTGGAATCCGGTTTGTAATTAAATTATTAATATTATTGTGGAGCAGCTGTGGCCGAGTGGTTAGAGCAGTCGTCCACCAATGGGAGAGTTGAGGGTTCGATTCCACCAGCAGTCACATGCCGAAGTGTCCCTGGGCAAGACACTGAACCCCTCACTGCCTCTGTGTGTCCCATCAGTGAATGAATGTGATAAAGCTCTGATTAGTCTTTGTATAGATCTAGTATAGAGCTGTATGAATGGGTAAATGAGGCACAGATTGTTGTAAAGAGCTTTGATTGTCTTGATGAGACAGAAATGTGTTTATATAAGTACAGTCCATTTACCGTTTAAAACACTGTATGCACTGAATGCGACGTAAAGCTGCTGCTGTCGTTAACACAGTATGGTCAGTGGTAGTGATGATACCAGGAACGTAAAGTTAACGGTTTATATTTTACTCAAAAAGTTTATTCACATTGACTTGAAAAGAACGACAATACTTTGTATTAAAATGTGACTTTAAAAAGTACTCTTTGCCTTTCGTTTGTTTTGTTAAATCCTTGTTGGCTCATTAAAGGGCCGCCATAACTACATGGACGTTTTTGTTAAACTATGTTAAACTACGGCCAAACTAGTCTCTCAGGTCTTTAGTGACCTTTGTGTGATGTGGACATGAACATGTTTGTGGACACACTGAGGACCTGTCCCTGGTCCTTTGACCTCGTCACCTGAAAGTACAACTAGTACAACTAGTAGAACCCATTTAGTCACACCACAGCACATAAATAATATTAGTCATCAAAACAAAACAATAAAGGTCATATATAATTTAACCTGTTGATTTTCTGTGGTTCAGATTAGTCTGTTACAAAGTGAAGCAGAGAGCAGCCCTTCATAAAGCTCTTCAGGCACAGCCTTCAGCCCAACCACAGAGACATGTCCTCTACATCCACACCCACCACGTCCAACACCAGGACAGAGACACATGTCCTCTACGTCCTACACTGGTAAAAACAGGAGGGTGGATGATGAGGTGATGGAGCTCATGCGACAGCCAGCGGCGGCATGAGGAGACGGTGACAGCTGAAGTCTATCCAACAGGGTTTGAAGGTCTTGATGCGGCTCAGCACATTTTAATTGTAAATCAAATCTTGTTTTAGTACTTTTACTGGTACACAACTAGTGTCATGTTTACAGAGCCAGTGCAGTCAAGTACCAGTTCTTGAGCATTAATTAAACTTGTTCATGTGTTTACCCTGAAGTTTTCATACGTTTGATACTGTATGAGTTTTACTGTAATAAATTATTTGAATATCCATCAGATCTTTTTCTAGCCACAAGCTTTGAGTGTTAGATTTAACAATGAAAATAAAACAGTAAATTGCTGAAAACTCTTGTTTAATGATACACAAACATTCTCACAAAGAATAATTCAACGCTCTAATGCAATATGACAAACTGCTACTGTTACCGTACTTTGTTTAGACAGCACTACAATAATCAGTGTTACCACATCAAAAATCTAAATTAGCTTGCACCACCAGAGGGTTCTTGCTACGGTCATGAGGAAATCAGATTTATGACGACATCAGATGAAGTTGAACACAGCAGCTTCTTTATATTTCATCGTCCTGCCTGGACAGGTGACTTGGTGTTCCTGCATATTTCTGACATCTACCGGTAAATGCAGAAAGCTGCAGCATCAGTCCTGGTCTGCAGGTTGTCAGAGGTCTCTTGTACTTCAACTGTCATCCTACATCCACCGCTACTTTACTTACCGTTGACCACTGATTGTAATAGAAATGACTAACTGCACATAATAGTTGTTTTTGTGTTAAAAACCAATAATACCTTCATCCTCCAGCATGTTCCTCAAGTGGACTGAGTAGATTATATATTCCACTGCAGTGAGACCCACACAGCCTCGATTCTGGGGGTGTCCCATCTTTTTTCCCAACTTTGGACTGGACAAGTGGGAAACTGGAACGCCGTCAACTCTTACATGTCGTCATTCCAACTTCCCAGCTCCGAGTTCCAACGTAAATGGAGTGCAGCTAAATAAAGTACAGTATTTTTCGCTGTATAAGTTGAACCTTTTTGCATAAATTAGCATGACTGCGACTTAAACACCATAGCGATGTATTTGTTTTTTCACATATTTATAACCCAATTCTTGGCTGAGATCTGATGATTTCATTCATTCTGACATGGAAAACATTGAACACTACCATTTTCAGCCACTAGAGGGCCCTCAAGTAATATGGCAAGCCAGGTGTCTCATTAATTGGTAAAAGTGTCTATTAATGAGACACTTGTCTTGCCATACGAGCCACCTTCATCTCGCTCCGGAACTCCTGGAGCAAACATCAAATCAGCTGCATTTCTTCAGCCCGCCCAGGAGACATGCAGCTGATTTGACCATTAAAGTGCATTTATTAAGGAAAAGTTCAACTGAGACGCGCCTTTACTATAATGTTGAGCAAACAAATAATTGTTTTTAGGTGGTTATCTTGGTAAATTTCGAATAAACGCTGAAGTCCTCCCTCGGCGCACTCCCGCAGCTGCGAATCGATTTTTGAAATGCAGCGGACTTGACCATTAAAGTGCATTTATTAAGGACCAGTTAGACTGAGACACACCTTTACTATAATGTTGAGCAAATAAATAGTTGCTTTTAAGTGTTAATCTTGTTGAAGTCTTCCCATGCACGCTCCCGCGGCCGCCATTCGGCAGTCAATCGATTTTTGGCACACCGGCCCACATTTCTGGGTGGTCAGCGGTGACACGTAATAGATGCGACGTATACAGTGAAGCGACTTAATTATTTGGTTTTTTCCCACGTCATTAGACATATTTGGACTGATGCGACGTGTACGTCAGAAAGTATGGTACTGTAAAGGCTGAGGTGCTCAAAGTGTTTCTTTGTTTTCCTGTCTGACAGAGATGGTGGAGTCTATGAAGAAGGTGGCGGGCATGGACGTGGAGCTCACAGTCGAGGAGAGGAATCTTCTATCAGTGGCCTATAAGAATGTGATCGGAGCTCGGAGAGCCTCGTGGAGGATAATCAGCAGTATTGAACAGAGAGAAGAGAGCAAGGGTGGAGAGGAGAAGCTGAAGATGATCCGGGAATACAGGCAAACGGTAAATCTCTCAATAAACACCAAGAGGGAAACTCCTGTGGTTTCATTCACCGCAGCTTGTTTTCACAGAGGTCATGCCAGAGCTCCTCAGGTTCTCTTTGTTAACGTGAGCAGACCGTCTCCTGTGAATGATGCAATCTGTGAGCAGCTACTAGACAGACTGCGTCTGAGTCACAGCTGGCAAGTCCTCCCTGCACTCTGCCATGCTTTTATGAAGCAGAATAAGAGCCGCTATTATTCTGGGTGAGGCCAGAGCTGGGCGAGGCAGCTGGACTGCAGTCAGTGATCTAATGGCTTGCAGAGATGAGTCCACCTTGGTTTTCCTGAGCTGCTGTCTTCCTCCTGGTGATGCACTTCCTGTCACCTCTACAGTTTCAGATCAACACTTGGAGACAAAAACAAGTTGCTGCTAAGTGTGGACAGTAAAGCTACAAGCTATCGTAGGATGTTCTTAGGAAAACTTTATGTAAATAAACACTGATTTTTGTATTTTCATGCCTAATATAAAGTGCACAACAAGTCACAATGGCTTATTAAACATGGGCTGCTTTTCAATAAATAGCATCGATGCTAACAACATGGAAAACATTATAGAAAAGCTAATGAAATTAGCGTCATGTTTATCACAGAAAATTTGTTCAAATTAAATATTCAAATGTCATTACGTAGCCATGTTGTCATAAGGTCAAATATTATTTCTAGACCTATATTCTTCAGGGTTCTGTGTGGAAACGCACAGCTCCAGGTTTCTACAGGAAGCTACATGAGGAGGACCACTGGCACCCCTCCCCCCACCAACTACTCTAGTGGTTCTCTTAAAGTGGCAGCACAGATTAACGTTAGCTATCCAGGTTTTGACTAAATCACTTCAGATTCTACATCGTCTGTGATGCAGCAGAAATTTGACTTCAGCTCCTATCCCTACTGGATAACTGAACACTTAAGGCTACGGACATGAGGTCCGTGTGAACATGGTAGTTTTGATGCCTGTGAATAGTCCTCATTTATGCCACGTAGCTCCTTCTATGGTATTTTTAACATCATTGAAGCAGGAAGTAGATATTATATTTGAAGGTGGACTTCAGTGGTAATTTATCTACATGTTTTTGAGTAAATGAATAATTGTGTTTTTCGACAGGTGGAAAAGGAATTGAAGTCTATCTGTGGGGATATTCTGGATGCACTGGATCGGCACCTACTCCCCTCTGCAGCCATGGGAGAGTCGAAGGTCTTCTACAATAAAATGTAGGTGCTTTCTACTCAGATTATTAATTAACAGACTAATAAATCCTCCCTGGTGCTCTTGGAAGAAGGCCAGATACTCATGTTTCAGAGGAAATGCTCCAAAAAGCACATTTTATATTAATTAGAATAACTTAAGACATATTTTATGTGTTGCATTTCTATTGTGTGAACAGAAGGCATTCAATTCAGTTTATTTACATAGCGCCAAGTCACAAGAGAAGTCATGTCAGGGCGCTGAACAGAAACATTCACATTTATTTATCTGAGGAGCAGACCGCTTTGAGTCTTAACTTGTCGCAGACTCTCATTGAAAATAAAATGGTTAAATACCATCAGTTTTGAAGAAGATGGGGAGGGGCCAAAATAAAGTGCAAACTACTTTACTGCAAAGTAACATAATAAAGAGAAGTATAGAAAACCACTGAACCATAGAAAAACTAAACAAGAACAGAAGTCCAGTTGCTTTATTTTGTATTGGCCATGTTTTGGATGACTGACAGTCCTGTACCAGCACAGTACCACCTGTTTGAGACTGCAGATGCACCGAGGCCTCGGGCATTGACTCGAATCACCAGGTTTTCAGCTTGGTCACCCACAACCACTGATGGGCTGGTTGGACTCTGATGGATGATTCTTTCTGGTCAAATGCCTGGTCGCTGTGTAACACAGGCTGGTCATCTCGTAACTGCAGTCACTGTTCAATGATTTTGGAAGAGATCTCACTCTGGAGCTGGAGCTTATTATGCTATGTTTGATAATGGATCTACAAAGTCAGCTCAGCAGGACGAGTGCCCTGCACCTTCATCGAGCTACACATCTGAAGTTCCTGGATCAGCAGCTTACTGGTGAACTGTTGGACAGGAAATGAACTGTGTACAAAGTGCAGCACTAAAGGAAGCTTTCTGAGATGTTTAAGCTAAGTGAGAATTTCATCCATGCAGAAAAGACCTGCTTTAACTTTTGAACATTTATTTATTGGAGATTTTTATTTCAATCAGTCTAAAAAAAATGGACTAATCCCAGAACTTGGATCATCTCTCACCACCAAGATTCTTTACAAAAAGTACCGGTAATCAAGTTTAAAGTCCAACTATTGTCTCAATTTGTTTTAGAGCGTGTTATCAAAGTTCTACTTAAATCTGAACTGGCAACAAAAAAGAAAAGAACTATGTTCTGTCATTTCACAACGTCTGCTCTTGCATTTAATTACCGTAATGTTCTGACTATTGAGCACACCCAAATACACTGCCCGGCCAAAAAAAAACAACCTCCAGCTGGATTTAACCAAGTAAACGGGTACGAGCCTCCTGTTGGATAATTACTGCATGGATGATTATCTTTCAGCTGCAACAAGTTATTTAACTCCAGCTGGTGCAATGAGTTGCTTCTCATTTCTTAAACACCATGTTAAAGACACAGGGCGTGGTCGTGGAAAAGATGTTTGAGAAGGGTCAAATCATTGGCATCAAGCAGAGAAAACATCTAAAGAGATTGTAGAAACTACTAAAACTGGGTTAAGAACTGTCCAACACATTATTAAAAACTGGAAGGATAGTGGGGACCCATTGTCTTAGAGGAAGAAATGTGGCCAGAAAAAATCCTGAATGATCGTCGATCATTTAAACATTTGGTGAAATCAAATGGAAGAAAAACAACAGTAACACTCAGGGCTGTGGTTAATAAGAACATTTCCACACGCACAATGTGAAGGAACTCAAGGAATTGGGATTGAACAGCTGTGTTGCCTTAAGAAAACCACTAACCAGTGAGGCTAACTGGGAAAAAGGCTTCAAGTTGTTAGGGAGCATAAAGATTGGACTCTGGAGCAACGGAAGAAGGTCATGTGGTCTGATGACTCCAGACTTACCCTGTTCCAGAGTGATGGTGCATCAGGGTAAGAATAGAGGCAAGATCATCTCCTGGCACCTGCAGTTAAGTCTGTGGCAACAAGGGGCTCAGCAGGCTGCTGGGAGAACTGGCCGTCGCTCAGGGAGAAGTTCTGCCCGACATTCAGGCAGTCCTGCTGCCCAAGAGGACTGAGAGGTCTGCTGGGTCTGGGTGGACAGATTGACATCTGTAGCCAGTTTCTTCAGATCCGCTGTGGGATGGACTGCTACAAGAGATCCTTCCTGCCCAAAGACCTCAGCATCTAGAACAACTCTAATGAAACCAAGATGAGCTACAACAATTAATTTCCCTTTGGGATTAATAAAGTATATTTGAATTGAATTGAATTTGACATTAAGCTGCAAGGTTCAAAGCCTGTGAAAAAAGTAGTGGCTTATAGTCCAGAAATTACAGTACATTTATTTACAGTTGTTATACAATTATACTGTTGCATCTCTTTAATGGAAAGCTGAATTTTATCTGTACAAAAATATAAAGCTGAAGTCTGGAAGTGTTACAGCCAACATGTAGATGTGACTTGTACCTAATGAGCTCTGAGTTTGTTTGAAATAACCATGAACTCTTTGTCTCAGATGTGTTATCAGACTGTTTCAAACATTTTTAGGCTCTTGCTATGTCCTTGTAGTTTTATTTTTTATATGAGCTACACTTAAGCCTCCAGTATACTCACTCGTACGTCCGTTCACGCGTACGTACGTGTGTACTGTACGCAGAGGGTTCAGACTTCATACTCCAGCGTACACCCCGAGCAGCTGCAGAGCAGCTTCACAGACAAGGGGCGTTTACCTTTGGGACAAATTCAGGTCATTTGGTGACACGCCTACTGGATTGATTGACAGGTCGGAAAAAAGCGAGCGCTGGCAGCCTCCGCCGCAGCGGTGTTCTGTGTTTATATGTTGTTAATAAAAAGATCTAAAAAATAAATAAAAACAGGGAGCGCTGGCTCTACAGTCCACACATCAGACCAGCCCACCAGGAAATCTCCAGACCCTCCCGCAGCCACGCTGGACCTGAGTTTAATTTGCTCGTGACAAATTCCTCCATTTCTCACCATTTCAGTCATGGCATCAACGGAGGAGGAAGAGATCACTGCCTCTTGGCAAAAGAACAAAAGAAAAGGCCAGATCAGAGATGAAGAAGGGGAATTTAATACATTGGTGTCGCATACAAAACAGTCCATCGCCGGGCAGTTTAATGTGCGACACTGCGTACGCGTATGCGGTTGTAAAAATTTGAGCTTTGCACGGACATGCCCTGGGGGGTACGCACGTACCTCTGCATATGGACGTACGCGGCAGTATACTGGGGGCTTTAGTCTCTGTACCATGTAAATGCAGCTAAATGAGGTTTAGGTCTAGAGATTGTTTTGATCAGTCTAAATGGACCCTTTTTTATGTACTTTGAAAGCTGGTTGAGAAAAATGAAAGTAAGCTGCCAGAAAAAACCCCAAAACGATGACAAAGTGTGTGCGCTCACGCAGATTCACATTTGTTTTTGTTGGATCAGGAGAAAATCCGTTCTTCTCCACACATTTCATGACTGTAAACATGTTCACGATGGTAAAGGCTCGTCTTTATCTCATCAATCCATAAAACATTGTCTCCAGAATGTCTGTCCTTTTCAGTTTGACCTTTCTATTGTTTTTTATGAAGAGATGGGTACCTTCTGACGCAGCCGTTGTTTTGTCCTTTGACCTTTGGTGCCACTCTTTTGTTTCAAATCATTCCTGAAACTTTTCTCTATCCACTCCATCCTGCCTGAATTTTTTTACACCTCTTTACCACCTCCTCCCTCTCATTCACGTACTCTGTTTTACTACGGCTGACTTTCATTCCTTTTCTTTCAAGTGCATACCTCCACCTCTCCAAGGTCTCTTCCACCTGTTCCCTGTTCTCACCACAGATCACAATGTCATCTGCAAACATCATTGTCCACGGGGATTCCTGCCTGACCTCATCTGTTAGTCGGTCCATCACCAGAGCAAACAAGAAGGGGCTCAGAGCCGATCCTTGATGCACTCCCACCTCCACCTTGAATCTGTCACTCCTACAGCACATCTCACCACTGTCCTGCTGTCCTCGTACATGTCCTGCTGTCCTCATACATGTCCTGCTGTCCTCGTACATGTCCTGCTGTCCTCGTACATGT